TATATATATATATATGTATTTTAAAAAAACAGAGAAGTTTACCTTGTTTGTCTAGATTCCTAGTTAAAGGTTGAATTCATCTAGAACAGGACTCTAGTCCTTTACATAGCCTCGCTTGGCACCTGGCTGCTTTCTTTGTGTTCTCCTTATGTCTGTACTGTCGCCCAAAGTTCACTGGAGAGTCACCTGCCCAAAAACATATCCTTACTGTCTGTCTGAGATTCTCATTGTCAGAATCTCAATGGAACGCCACTGGAGCCAGAGGCACTTTAGTTAAAATTCACAGACAAGGTGCTGGTGTGGACACAGAGAGGAATATGAGAAAAACAACAGCTTTGTCGTGTTGAAGGCATCGTGTTATTAAAAGAGAGATAACATTAGTTATTTGCTTCTCTCTCTCTCTCTCTCTTTCTCTCTCTCTCTCTCTCTCAGCAGAGGTAGGACATTAAGAAAAGAGACGGGACACCACCGTGCAGTCTTCCCCTCCAAGCGAGTTTCTACAACTGTGTCCATACCGTTTTAAATGATGCTGAGGGTACTTGGGACTATTATTTACATTTTCTTTTCCGCAGTAGATATTGAGCTACTGGAGGGCTGAGTTCACTTCTTATTTCCAGAAGGCACATGCCTGATATGTAGTAATTAATGATGAGAGCCCTTGCTCTGCGCCAAACGCTCTTACGAAGGCTTTACGTACATCCAATCATTTAGTACAGGAAATGGCTTAACCTAAGGAATCGATACTCCTCTGTTATATCCAAAGGTCTCTGACCTCTCCCCACCTAGCGCCCCGCCCCGCCCCGGAACACTCCGCGCCCCGCCCCTCCCCGCCTCGCCCCGCCCCCGAACACTCCGGGCCCCGCCCACTCGCGTTCGCGTGGTGGAGAAGCCCGTCGCGCCTCACTGACGTCACCAGCGCGCGCCCTCGCCGCAGCCGGTCTCCGGGGCACGCGTCAGGTCCGGTGGTCCCAAGTTCTCCGCTAGCAGTCTGCCGCGCAGCTCCAGTTGCTCCGGTCCGGACGCCCGCGTGGGCACAGGCTCTGCGACATGTCGATGCTGGCTGAGCGTGAGTGTTGGGCACGGAGGCCCGACCGGGGCGCGAGGGTGAAGGTCCAGGCGGCGTGCCGGACCGGACCCGGCAGCAGGGTCTGCGAGTCGCTAGCGCTGAGCGAGGTGGAGGATCCGCGAGCCGGAGCCCTGGGAAGCCGGGTTCGGTGGGCCCTGCCTGCCGCGGAGATTTCCCAGTCCAGCCTGCTCCAGAAGTTAGCTGCCGGTCTGCTGGTGAAAGAGACCGCGAGGGTCACGTTCAGAGCTGGGCGCCCGGGGTGGGGGTGGGGGGGGGGTGAACGAGCCACCAGGACACGGGTCCTGGGGACCCCGACTGGTTCTTCTCGCTTCCCTGGAACCTCAGCATCCTCGGGACCGGCAGACTCTCCTCCGACATCGACGGCCCGTTCTCGACGATGTATGCAACCCAGAAATGGAAAAGCGAACAGATTAGAAGCATGAAAGGCAGGAAGAAGCCTTTTTTAGGGGGTGCAAGGCTAAGTAAGACTGTGGCGGTGTTAACTTTACTGAGATGCCTCGTCCTGCCTCAGTTTGCCTCTGACATTTACCGCCACTTTGTGAAATTCATTGATTCCCTTTCTGGAGCGGCTGCGTAACTTTCTGAATGGTACCTGTAGCTACGGTTGCCTGCCACCAGAGGGCGGTGGTGCTTTGGTCATAACTTCGGAAGTGGGTAGTGTAGCCAGGAACCGAAACAGTTTACTTAACACTTGGAGTGCGGGAAACGAGTTAAGTCGGCTCGCGTGAATTGCGCGTACTCCGCGGGAGCCGTCTTTAACTCGGTTCATATAGATTTGCGGTGGAGTGCGGGAAACGTGTAAACTCGGGCCGATTGTAACTGCGTATTACCAAATATTTGTTTGTAATCCACCCTTTTGGTGGATGGAACAAAACCAAAAGACAGAGCCATCTTATATTTTGGCGGGAAATTCACCCGCACTCCAAGTTTAATAGACCAACAGCAACCACTCTGGGATTTTGTGACATAAATGCTGTCAGCATTCTTTTAACTAAGGGGATGGAGGGCTGTGAGCACAAAACGAAATGGATTAGGCTCCACTCCAGCTTACAGGAGCAGGAATTAAGGTTCAGAGGAAAATTATTCACCCCAGGTCATTGAGCTAGAAATGGACAAAATTGATCTAGTTGTCTCTCTAGCTTTACATTGTTGCTACTAGGACCAGCAGTTTTCTACTGTTTCGAAATAGGGACTCATGGAATTGAATATGTTTTAGATGGTGAGCTTAGAGCCTAGATCTCTGAGGTCTCTTCTGGTTTTAATATTCTTTGATATGTGCTTAATTCAGTAGGTACTAGGGAACATTGGCCCTGGCTCTGCTTAATTCATTAGTTTCTGTGTGGTATTTAAAAACTTCACTTATTATCTTTAGCAGTAGGTTGTCTTAAAAAATCAATGACATGGTGAATGTGGAAATGGTTTGAAGTATGAAGTGGTTACAGGTGTAAAGTCTATTTGTAGACATCACTAATTACAATTGCATGATTTTAAGGGAATATTTTCAGTTCTCTCTACACCATACGTCCAAATGTTCTTCCTGATTCAGTTTGGAAGATTGTATGTTTCTAGGTATTTATCCATTTTGTCCATATTGTCCAATTTGTTGGCATATAGTTGTTCATAATGTTCTTTTTTTTAATATATTTTATTGATTTTTTACAGAGAAGAAGGGAGAGGGATAGAGAGTTAGAAACATCGATGAGAGAGATCAATCAGCTGCCTCCTGCACGCCCCCCACTGGGGATGTGCCCGCAACCAAGGTACATGCCCTTGACTGGAATCGAACCTGGGACCCTTGAGTCCTCAGGCCGACGCTCTAGCCACTGAGCCAAACCGGTTCGGCTTTATAATCTTTTCTTATGATCCTTTGTAATTTCTTTGGTGCCAGTTATTTCTCCTCTTTAATTTTTGATTTTATTTATTTGAGTCCTCTCTTTTTTTCTTGATGAGTCTGGTTACAGGTTTGTCAATATTGTTTATCTTTTCAAAGAACCAGCTTTTGGTTTTATTGATTTTTACATTTTTTTAAGTCTCTATGTCATCTATTTCCACTCTAATTTTTATTATTTTATTCACTTTGGGCTTATTATTTTTCTTTTTTTAAAATATTCTATTGATTTCAGAGAGGAAGGGAGAGGGAGAGAGAAATAGAAACATCAATGATGAGAGAAAATCATTGATTGGCTGCTTCCTGCAGGCCTCCTACTGGGGATTGAGCCCACAATCTGGTCATGTGCCCTGACCTGGAAACAAACCGTGACCTCCTGGTTCATAGGTCAATGCTCAATCACTGAACCACACTGGCTGGGCAATTTATTGTTATTTTTCTAGTTCCTTTAGGTATAAAGTTACATTGTTTATTTGAGATTTTTTTTGTTTCTTGAGGTAGACCTATATTGCTATGAATTTCCCTTTTAGGACTGCTGTCGCTGTGTCCCATAGGTTTTGGGTTGTTATGTTTTTATTTTCATTTGTCTCAAGGTACTTTTGATTTTTTTCCTTGATCTCATTGTTGACCCATTCATTGTTTAGTAACATTTTATTTAGCTTCTATGATGTTGTTCAGTTATTTTCTTGTAATTGATTTCTAATTTCATACCATTGTGATTGGAGAAGATGCTTGATACAATTTCAATCTTCTTAAATTTATTGAGACTTGTTTTGTGTCCTAATGTGGTCTATTCTAGAAAATGTTCCATGTGTACTTGAAAAGAATGTATATTCTGCTGCATGGGGGTGAAATGCTCTGAAGATATCAATTAAATCCATCTGATTTAAGAGACAGTGCGCAGGGTATTTACTGGGGGCTGGTTACATAGTCAGCCTCTGCCTGGCATGTACCAAAATTCCACTCTCTGAAGGGGCACAGGTATTTGGCATAAACCATGTTGTTTGTGTAAACAGTTAGACACAGTGAGCCACTCATCATTTTTGAAAATGGTAAGAAGCTTCCTGAAACCCGAGTTCCCAGCCAAGGGCCAGCCTTGTAAGCAAGACTTTGGAACGATAGCTAGCAGTCAGGCCTGCTAGGTTAACTCTTTTCTGCACACAGGTATTAGCAGAGCTGCCATCTAAGCATAGAATATTCTTATTCTTCGTGGAATAAGAATAACAAAGCATATGTGAAAGTGGATCCAATCTGAACAGACCAGCGATAGTCTTTTCCTTGCCAGGAGTTCCCAAACCTAGAAACTTCTACAGCTCTAGACCCAGAAAGTATTCTAGGGAAGTAGAATTCTGATCAAATAAGTTCGGGAAACATGGCATGCTAGCTCTGCCCTCCTCTAGCAGGGTCTACACAGTTGCATATTAAAAGTCTGAGAAAGTCTCTAGTATGGAACACTATTAAATTTTGTTTCACCCAGTGTCACTCTCCTTAAATGTAGTGGGGAGCCCCTCCCTGCCTTGAACATCTTTTGGGAAACACTTCCCTGCCCTATTGGTTGAGAATACCTGCCATTTTCCTGGGGAACAGAACCGACCTCCCTAGCCATCCAGTCTCTTGTGTGAGCATTATAGTCTGCTGTCAATAGACTGTATGTATGTGACATAAACTGTATGCTGTTCTAACTGCAGAGTGTGGGCTCAGTCATTCTCAAAACTGTCTCCTTCGCACAAACCCTAGTCAGAGACCCATGCCAAGCACCGTGTGCCAGAGACATGATCTCTGCAGAGAGAACACTGGTTAACAAGGCTCGTCTCTGGTATGCTGTTCAACAGTAGAGGCAACGGTATGCTGAGTATTTACTAAGATATGTAAAGTGGTAACTTTGTCACATGCAGCCTTTTTGGGTCTCCTTTCTTTTGGGAAACACTATAAATTTGAGCCCAACTTGTTTTGCTTTCTAAGTAGCCTTTTTCTGCATGGTTATAAAAAGTTTACTTATTTTTGCATAGTTATGGTTCTCCGTGATGATTTTACATGCATTTCTGTGAGCACCTCTGACCGCAGGTGGTGTTTTGTTTTTGTGTGTGTGGGTTTTTTTTGGTGTTTTGTTTTTAAAAATTATGTTTTAAGATGGCCAAAGTGTGAAGTTGCTGTTGATAGTGAGATTCTGGGCTTCAGTTGATGTAGTAGGTGAATGATAATGACCCTTGACCTCCAAATTTCTCACTTGGCCACAATTTACTTTTGGGTTTCATATTCTTGTTCTTTGAACTTTTGAGGTTCTATATCTCTGCCACGATTTTCCTTAAAACTACAATGATGAATTTGAGTTCCTAATGGTCACTTATTTATATTAAAAAAATACTTACTTTGAAGAAACTCAAAACAGTCCCTTAATTCAGTTTTGTTTCTTTCTTCCTTTCCTTTTTTGTGTCTCCTTCCTTCCTTCCTTCCTTCCTTCCTTCCTTCCTTCCTTCCTTCCTTCCTTCCTTTTTCTCATTCCTTTGCACATTCATTCACATATTTATTGAGTGCCTACTATGAGCAGTGTTTTTTACTTCTTGCAATGAATCATAAGAATAAGACACAAATGTAACCCATAGGAGATTATGGCATAACTAGAGGCCTGGTGCATGAAATTCATGCATAAGTATGGTCCCTAGGCCTGGCCTGTGATCAGGGCCATCTTCCCCCACTGCCCGCAGCCAGCCCCGCCCCCCGCCACCACCCACCCCCGGTTCCCCATTCACCATCAGGTGATCGAAGCCTGCTGGCCGGCGGGGGACCGAGAGGTTGGCTGTTCCGCCTGCTCGCTGGCCCCGCCCCCGCTGCGGGTTACCCTCTGTGTGGGGGGCAACTAGTGGGGCAGGGGCCTTGGCCTGGCGTCACCTACATCCTCCGCCATCCATTCCCTGTTCCCTGTTCGCCATTGGGTGATTGGAGCTTGCCCGCCGGGGATAGGGACCGAGAGGTGGTCAGTGCCCTTCATAATGATTGGTCGAGCGGTCGTTCTGCCGTTAGGATCAATTTGCATATTACCCTTTTATTATATAGGATAGAAACACTAAGAGATGGATATAAACAACCATAATGCAGAAAAATGTTAATTAAATGCCAAAAAGGAAGCAGATAATTTATTCTGGAAATTTATAGAGGGAATCATATGACTTTGGGGCATTTCAGTGAGAAGGGAAGGTACTGTTAGTATCTGTAGATCACCTGTGTGGAGGGCACAGTTGACTCCCCAGGATCATAATGACTTTTGTATGTTGTGGACTAAGAATATAAGCTTTGACGTCAGTAGGACCTTTGTTTGTATAAAGGCTCTGGATTTTGCTTAGGGACATTAGGCACATTTCTGTCTCTAAGCCTCAGGTTTTCTCATCCATGGAGATAAGAATATCTACCTTCACTGGGTTACCGTGAAAATGGAATCTAATATGTGGGGAGCGTTTGGCACATAATGCATGGCAACAGAAGCGGTAATGACTGCTGCTGCTGCTGGTGCTGCTGCTGCTGCTGCTGCTGCTGCTGCTGGTGCATTCATAGGTTGCTGCCTTTAGATTTGTCATCTTCGGAGCGAATATCTTCTTTTTTGTCTTAGAAGGTCGGTTTGTATGTTGGGAATATATTGTTATTGGGAATATATTGTTGGAAATCAGGGTAAATGATCCAATCTGATGCTGAATCTGGTACCTGTATCTAATAAAACATAATGCATGTTAATATTTTATGCAAGTATGTGTGTGTGTGTATTAGGTATGTGAATATTTGTGTGGTATTTTCCAGGTTTGAAAGGTAAGTTGCTAAGGAGATACTTTGTCATTTGCAGGTCGGCGGAAGCAGAAGTGGGCTTTGGATCCAAGAAATACCAGGTGGAGTAATGATGACTCCAAGTTTGGCCAGAGGATGCTGGAGAAGATGGGGTGGTCTAAAGGAAAGGTATTTCGGAGAAGAGCATAAAAAAGTCAGATCCATGCAAAGAGATTATAAGTCAGGAGAATGCATTTTTCTTAGGAGACTTAGAAAAATTTATGTTTTGGATCAGTAAGCGATTTTGGAGAAATAACTGAACTATAGTGATCTAGTGATGATAAAATTAGAATTGAACATAAATGTTAGCTCTCTTTATCATTTAAACTGCATGATTAGCATCTTTTAGTTGCACTTTGAATCATACTTAACCATCAGTTTTATGTTGCTAAGAGTAATACTTTATTACCCTTCATAACTAGACTACACATTTTTACTGTTTCTCACATTCCAGTTATTCCTGACTCAAATAGGACTTCTACTGATCTCTCTACACTTAAATGGTCTTGTCAAGGTCTTTAATGATCTTGTTGCCAAATCTAGTGGATGCTTCTCTGTCCTCATGTTAATTAATTCCTTAGCAGCATTGGACATCATTGACTACTTCCTTCTTGAAATAATTCTGTGTTGACTCCCACAGTACTGCTTTCTCTCTCTCTCTCTCTCTCTCTCTCTCTCTCTCTCTCTCTCTCTCTCTCTCTCTCTTTCTCTCTCTCTTTTTCTTCTTCCTTCTACCTCACCAGCCACTCCTAATTGCTGGCTGGCTCTTCCTCCTCCTGACTATTAAGCTGTGGAGCCCCAGGCCCTTTTCTGTACTCTGCTCAGGTTAGCTCATTTATGCCAGCCTATGCTTGAATTATCTAAATGCTGAGGTTATCTAACTGTTAACTTTTCTGTATCTAGCCCAGATCTGTTCTCTGAGCCCAGGTTTATAAATGAATCAGCCTGCTTGACATTTCCACTGGAGTAGGCGTCTCAAGTTTATAATTTTTATTAGGAAACTCTTGATCTTCCAGATCTTTTTCTTCTCAACTTTCTCCATTTTTGCAAATGGTACCTATTTACTCAAGCAAGAAACCTAGGAGTCAGACTTGGCTCCTGCATCTCTCACTTTCTGTGCCCTAGTCATTACTCCTCTCTCTCCAGGGCATCCTCCTGGTCCAGCCACCACCAGTACTTGCTCTGATCACCATTCCACCCTGTCTCCTGCTTTCCTGCCTCCCTTCTTTTCCTCCTCGGGGCCTTCCGACACCAAAATGAGCTTTTAAAATACAGAAATTAAATCATATCATTCATTAGCTTAAAAGTTCAGTGGTTTCCCACTGTTTTAAAGAAGAGGATCCAAATTTCTACCATAATTTTCAAGGTCTGTGAGGTCTAACCCCTTCATATCATCTTATTTCCTCTTCATTCACTGAGCTGAAGCCAGCCTGCTGGTGCCTTTTAGTTCTGCAGTATACCATGCTCTCTGGGACACCTTACAAATGAGTGTTGATACAGGGACCTGGAGTCCCTTTCTCCCTGCTTCTCAGCGTTGTTTTGTAAAATTAGTTAATGGGCAGAGCCACAGACTCATAAGACTTCCCATGGGCTTCTAATAGTTTTGTGGCAGAACTCTGATTCGGAGCATTAAATAAAGTATGTTCTCCATAGTGTTTCCCTGGTCCTTAAATTAGGTCTCAGGTTGAAGAATTGTAAGTGCATTTTTTGTGATACAGCCATATCTTATGAGAATCCATTACACTGTATTCTCTTTGAGGGCATAGTGCCCTGCTCCTAGATGTTTAGTAATGAGTGGCATTGTTGATGAGGGAAGATAGAGATAATCACTCTTTATATCTGATTTAATCTGTGTTTACTCTCCACAGGGTTTAGGGGCTCAAGAGCAAGGAGCCACAGAACATATTAAAGTTCAAGTTAAAAATAACCACCTGGGACTTGGAGCCACGATCAATAATGAAGTGAGCAACAGTGTGTCTGCTGGGGGTTTTCCTTGCATAACTGACTTTTTGTAAATATATATATTTTAAGTCGATCAAATTGATCCGTTTTTAACTGTTCAAGTGTGTATCCTCCATGTTTTGGTGAGTAAAACGCCCATAGCTGAGCTGGTTCTTTATCATGTGTCCTGCCTGCTCCCTCTGCCTTATTGTCTTCATGGGGCTCTTTCCTTGCGTATGTGTAAGAGATGCAAACTAGTTTTATTGCTAAACTTTGCAAAACGTATTCTTTTTATAGAAATACTCATTTCAGGACAGACAAGAAGTTTTACCTTTACCTGTGTTCTAATATTAGCTTATATTATTAAAAGTTGCTGACATTTAGTTTCAGAAAGAAATTAAAAGATTCTCCTGCAAGAAAGTGGTACTCTTTTCCTGTACCATTGTCTGTTTCTGACTGTTGGTGTATAGCAGTTAAATTTATGCACATTTCCTCGTAAACACTGACACTTTGTAAATATGACACTGTAATTAAAAATTAATGGCCTATCCAGTCATCATGCTTTTTATTTTCAGAATTATTTGCTTCAGACAGCGTCTAAGCTGAAGGCTTTGTTCTTAATTACTTTTTAAAGACTTTTATTTTTTTTTCAATATTCTTAAATTTTTACAACCAATAGAATCTGGTAGAAAATCTGGAGAATTTCATTAGGTAAACTGAATTCCTTTGATTAGTTCAGAACCACTGAGTAGTAGACTAGATCAGCCAAATTTTCTGGACTAACAACTAAAATTTTAAAAGACTACAGAGGGAGTTTATATAAAGTTGATTTTGAAGGTAGTTGCTGAGAGATGTACAATGTACTTCATTTTTTAGGAGAAGCATTGCCCAGTAAACCTATTTAATATGCTTTACCTTAAGCAGTCTTAAAATAGTGTGTATGAGGCAAATGCCTCCATTGATACCTTGCTTCCCACGGGTTAGGTGGTTTTGGAGATGTTCATTCTCTCTTAAAGCCAGGTTCTCTTTGTTATAATGAACTCACTAGCTTGTCACCTTACAGATGGGTGCTTATTGATTCCCGGGACTTGGAGTCCTTTCTCCTCCATTCTCCAGTGTTATTTTGTAAAAGGGGGTCCATGCCAGCAAATAGAATTGGGCAAAATATTTAAAGTTCAAATGAGCAAAGAAGAGAGTCCCTAAGTTCATGATTGCATTTTTCCTTTGACTTATATGATTTTCCCTTAGTGAGAAAAAATTTTATTTTGCTTTATTTTCATATTTAGCATATAGGTTGCCTACTGATTATCTGACTATAAATTGACTATGTATAAGTTATCCACATTTGAAATCAGGGCTGAAGTTTCCAAGGAGTCCATTTGTAATACTAAAATAAATACATTTCATTTCAAATCTACATTATATCTTTCAAATTTATAAATATCTTGGTGAAACATTTAAAAATTCACACTAACCACCAGATTTCCTTGATTCCAAGATATCACTTATAGACTTGCCTCTAATGATTTTTTTGTTTGTTTCAGGACAACTGGATTGCTCATCAGGATGATTTTAACCAGCTTCTGGCTGAACTGAACACTTGTCATGGACCAGAAATAGCAGGTAGAGGAAATCTTTGCCTTGTTATCCATTAGATTTATAAGACATAATCTCTCAATTTAAAATATTCTTACCAACTATTTTTACTATAAGCATCACATATCCAAAAGTTAATTTATTGAAGCAATTAGAAACGGTCTTTCCTGTTTATATTTTGATAGTACTTTCATTGTATGTAAAAAGACAACACTTCTGATTTAAGAGTTTGAGAATGGCAAGATAAATCCATTCAGTTTACAGCCTCAAATAGTAAAGTGATCTTTCCAGGGTTCCTTGAATGTGTCTAAAAACATTTTAAAAATACAAAGCGAGAAATATCAATTGGAACCATAAATTAGCAGCCAGCAAAGGCTTAATAAAAAAAGCCTGTTTTTTGTGTTGATTCTACTTAATTAAACTGTTTTACCTTTTAATGTATTAAGAGATTCTGGGTATAGTAAAGTTTGTTGCAAGGGGCTCAATACTAGAAATTGTATTCCCAAGCTGTAGGAATTAGAAATGAAACAATTGGACATTGGGCTTCCCATATTAAGTTAACAGGAAGATTGTATGATTGGAGGGAAGGGGATGGATGGGTGAAACCTGTGGGGCTTTGGTATGATTTTAGAATTTAAGAGAAGTTTTTTTTATCACATGTCTATTTGGCAAGGGCGTAACTTGAGTTAATGCTGCTGGATAGTCATTGGAGAAATCTAGACTATTCTTCTACAGACATTTTTTTTAAATTGTGGTAAAATACACATAACATACAATTTACCATCTTAACCATTTTTAAGTGTGCAGTTCAGTGACATTAAGTATGGACACATTGTTGTGCTACCATTATCACCATCCACCCACAGAACTCTTCATCTTATAAAACTGAAACTCTATCCCCATTAAATACTAACTCCCCAGTGCTTCCTCCCTCCAGCACTTGGCGACCACCATTCTACTTTCTGTCTCTGAATTTAACTACTCTAGGTATCTTATGTAAGTGGAATCATAGTATGTGTCCTTTTGTGTCTGGATTATTTCACTTAATATAATGTCCTCAAGGTTCCTCCATGTTGTAGTATCCAATGTTGTACCTTCCGTTTAAGGCTGAATAATGTTCCAAGCTATGTATATACCCCATTCTGTTTGTCTATTCATTCATCGATGGACTCTTGGGTTGCATCTCTTCTCGCCTCTTGGCTCTTGTGGAGGTGTAAATGTTTAGGCTTTAGTTCAGCAAACATTTATTGAGCTATGTGCTGGATATGAAGTTATAGACTTGAGGATATGCAGATGTATACGACATAATCCCTGCTTGGGAAGTAGCAGACAGGATATGCTAGTAATTGGTAAAATTGTAGCATGAATTTAACAGTGGGAAGATTTATTGTAATGCTATATATGGGAGTGAGCCCAAAAACATCAAGGGAGGTACTCTGTATTTTTGCTAATCAGATTGGACTTCTTGTTGGAATCTATAACTTGGACAGTTTTCCTTGTCCATGGTTTAACTATTAGAACTATCCAATGTGTGGTCCTAACATAAAAGATGATAATTTGTTAGCCAAAAGAAAATGTTTTGTGAAAACACTTACTGGACTGATATTAGGAAATGCAGGATCTATGCAGCAGTAAAATTCAAGGACATTAGCCCTTAGTAATTATAAACAAAAGCATCTTTATATTCAGGATCACAGCTGAAATCAAGGGAAATATAAGTTTGTATTTTCTAATCTATCTGCCTAATTTTTCTCAATGTACTTCTGAGATTTATCCCTGATGTATTATCGAAGTGCAGTCGGTGAAATGTTTAAAGTGACCCAAGAAACTCTATAATTTGTCAGGAAGGTAGTAAGTGCATGACAGATGCCAGGCAGTAGTGCCTTGTCCTTGGGCAGCCCCATCCACAGGTTCACCTTTGCAGGCTGATTCTTTTTATTTTTGCCTAAGACATAGAAGTATCTTGAATCATTGGCTGCAGGAGAGTTACCAATCTGTAGATTGAGTTCCACTTCGAGACCACTAGAGGGTGCTGGTAGCCCTGTGACAGGGACTGGGCTTTGGTGGCCTGCTTCCTATCTAGCTCAGTACAGTCCAAACCAGGCCTTGTACCGCCAGTCCCAGTACTGAAAAGCCTTAGGAATATTCCTTTAAGGAAAAACCTGTTCAAGGAGTGGACCTGGAGAGCTAATAAATTATTTGTCTGCCATGTCATCTTTCATAAATACAGTATCATTATTCAAGTGAATTTTTGGTCAGAGTAAAGCCAAAATTACTGTATTAGAGCTAAAAAGCAGATGACACAATATAACCCAATAACATTTTTTTCTATAATAATATTTTTACTGCCTTAAGATTACTTACCAAATTCATACAATTTGCCTTTCAAAAATTCCATACTGCCCTCTTCATAGAATCTTGCAAACATCCTGGAAATAACCCTTATCTCCTTGTGAGACAGAAAAATCAGTATATCTTTAAAATTTCATTTAAAAAAAGTTATCTTAGTTAGTTCTCTCTACCAGACTCAACTTAGCTTTTTTGTAGACTTAATTTCATGGTTTTAGGAAACGTTTGTTACTTCCATCAGATATTTTGTTCCTTATGGTTTTACACTGGGATGCTGATAACCTGCCATCCACAAAGGTGTGGTTTAGGACAGGGATCTTCAAATTATTTTGCTCACATATCCTCTAAGGCAGCGGTTCTCAACCTGTGGGTCGCGACTCCTTTGGGGGTCGAACGACCCTTTCACAGGGGTCGCCTAACACCATCGGAAAACACATATATAATTACATATTGTTTTTGTGATTAATCACTATGCCTTAATTATGTTCAATTTATAACAATGAAAATACATCCTGCATATCAGATATTTACATGACGATTCATAACAGTAGCAAAATTACAGTTATGAAGTAGCAACGAAAATAATTTTATGGTTGGGGGTCACCATAACATGAGGAACTGTATTAAAGGGTCGTGGCATTAGGAAGGTTGAGAACCACTGCTCTAAGGGAATTTTGAAAAGCTGTATACCCTAGCTCACATTTTTATATCAACATCTATGTTTTTAATCATAGCTTTAAATCGTTGCAAATTGTAATTTCTGTCTTATTGGGAAATATAGGCATTTAAAAAAACACCCATTACATTAGTCCCAAATGTATTCAGTAGATAAATACCAGAGCAATTTGTTACCTGTTGTCTTCTATTTAGAAATATACAGACAAGTCCTTAATAGTCAGAAATATTATATTTCATAGTTCCTTTTCCTCTGAAATAATATTTTGATTGTGTATACCCCATAGTATTTTATGTTAATATGTTTTTGCTTGAACTTTTAAAAATTCTTCATCCTATCATATTTCTCTGCCACAGTCATTCACCCATTGGAGGAATTTTGGGTTATATCCAGTATTTTATTATTATGAATAAGGCTATTATGTACTTTGGTATATAGATTTTTATGTGAACACAAATTTTCATTTCCTCAAAGACTGTATACATTTCTGGAAAATAGCCTTGCTTGATTCATAGTATACAGTTCAAGAAGAATTTCTAATCATTTGGTTAGAGTTCAATAATAAGGGACAGGGTTTCCAAAGATTTTATTTAAATAAGACCATGTCACTGTAAGAGAGTAAATGAGAATGGATTACAGAGAGTTTAATGTAATGCTTTTTTTTTTTTTTTTAAGACTCCTCAGACAACAAGGAAAAGAGATCTTTCAGCCTTGAGGAAAAGTCCAAAGTCTCCAAAAACCGTGTTCATTATAAGAAATTCACAAAAGGTAAAATTAAGCATTTATTTATTTGTTATTGATACCTCTGTGTTCCCAGTGGGTTTCTTAAAGCAGTTTTAGCTCTTCGCCAGCATTATGTCTTGTTTTACGTTCAAAATGGGGAATTATGGATAGCTTGACTGGGTGGATCTAAAGCGGTGCTCAAGTTTCAGCATTTATTGTTAGTCTACTGGGGATCTGGTTAGAGTGCATCAGATTCATTAGCTCTGAGGTGGGGCAAAGCTGGAAGTCAACTTGCTCTTTAGAGGCAAAAAGGGACTTTAAATGGCTAGGTCAGGAAATAATTCTAATTAATTGCTCAAGGTTTTTAGTTACATTTTCTTGTTTTTCAGAGTTTGACGTTGGTGTTGAATAGTTCTTGACATTTTTCAATTTCGAGAATTATGCTCTGTAATAAGAACTCCAGTATGAGAAATCTCACTTCCCAGTTGATCTTTATATTATTCCACACCTTTTCTTCATTTCATGGAGTGTTAACTTAGGCACTCCTTTTCATTGCCAAGATAGTGTTAGAAAACATGTTTGAGAACTGGGTGGTAAATCCTATCTTCATCACACCTCCCCACTCCCCAATACTTGTAGTCAATTGTGCATGCAGTTGTCCTCTTTAACCACTAGGTGGCGGTCTTGTATTGTAAGAAACAATTTAAGTAGAACTCAACTCCCCAAATGTTTTCCCAGAAAACAGTGTTCTGTATTAAGTGCACTTTCTAGGGACAGAAGCCTATTTATTGCATAATATACTTAAAGTATTAAATATAATGATAATTTATGTTGTAATATCCAGTCACAATTTGATGGTTCTTTTATGGGAGATACACCCATCTCTTTGCTTTACTCTTGTTAACATGATTGGGAATTCCCTAACTCCTAGAACCTGCCTGAATAGCAGTGGGAGCTGAAATTCCCACCACTTTAAACTATTAATGGTGGTTCTCACTGGGGCACAGGACCCCACAAGGTAGGAATGAGTTTGCTGTAAATGAGAGCCCACGGCAGAGCTGAATGGAGTGGGGAGCTGACTAGCGTCAGGAATGTGTGCGAGGAGACGCTGGTGCTTACTTCTGGCCCGTCCCAGTGGGTGTGGTTTGTATGGCTCTTCCTGTCATCCCTCTTTCTCTCAGGCTAGAACCTCTGTTGTTTTTCTCTGTGGCTTCCCATCAGGGTTGCTCTCCACCCCGACCTGCTGCAGGACAGAAGACAGGCCTTGCTGGCCCTTCAGTCCTTTTGAGGAGAGGCTGAAGGTCAGTTCATGCCCATGTCCGAGCCCTTAAATGTCCCTCCTTTTCTCATTAGACCCTATAGAAAAAAAAAAGAGACAAAGCAGAAGAGTACTGAGCAAATTCGTGACATTAAAAGTGTGCCTGTGTCTTTTGGGCAGTATGGCATCCTTTTAAGCTTTCACTTTTGCAAATAAAATCTTCTAATTTTCTTTTTGTTCCCGACTACATGCATGAGTTCATCTGAAGCATTTGCTGAAGCCAGGATAAACCTCATTAATCTACTTTAATCTAATGGGTGCCGGGAGTATCTGCTTTCTATTTCTCTATTTCTAGTTAAGCCACTCCCTTGCCAGGTGACCCTGTCAACCTGCTTGGTGTGTTGTGCCTTCATTCTTTCTCTTTTAAGATGAGGTACGCCTACTTATTAGCCTCCTTGGGGAGGCGGGGACATTGGTATGCAGGGAAGAGAGTTCCAGGTATATTGTGAGAAAGTAGAGGAGACCGAGTGAGAAAACAGAAATGCAGATTGGGAATAAGTAGAAAGATGGGAGAAGGAGGCAGAAATCCAAGTAGTGAAGAAGACAACTATTTACCATCCATCTTAACAATATGCAGGGAAAGGTTATTTTAAAGTTCTTTATTTGCATAAAATAAATTTGTTCTTGTAGAGCCACTATTGTCACCGGATATGAATGATCAACTCTGTTTCCTCTAAGGTAGGCTGTCTTAGGTCGCAGGAAAGCTGGTGCTGGCCGTCTCTCTCTCAGATAAATCCCTTAACCACCTTCCTTCTTTCAGACTCTGTTTCCTCTTTTGTAAAGTGAGGAAAGATTTTTAAGACATTATTAGGTTCTAAAATAGGTTCTGTTTTATGACTTATTAGTAATGACCCCATTGTATGGAACTTTTGATTGTTCAGCATTATGCATAATAAGGAAATTAGCCTGTGGGTATGCTCATAATGAAAGTAATTCACTTATTGGATGAGGATGATTCGTATTGTAACTTTGTCTGTGGTCCAGGAAATTAAAACACGGGAAGGTGGCATTTTATTTAGCTTAGTGTGACGAGTGAAGATAAAGATTTTATTTTAGTGAGATTATAGTAGCAAATAGCATTGTAAAATTTGCTGTTGCATCAGTATTGGCTACCATTTTAGTTCTGATACATTATTTCTTTCTCTAGTCCCAAGTTTATAATTTTAATTTGAAATAATTTATTAAATAATTTTAAAAGCTAATTTCATCTATATTTATTTAAAAGCCTAACTTCAGCATGGTTTCTTTTAATTTGAAAATTGTTTGGCAATGCCATATCTGCAGAGAGGAAAAAATAGGGAAAACATCAATTCTACAAAACCATTTTCTATATACAGTGAGCAGTTGTTGAGAGCATTGCTGCATCACCCCCTCACCCCCCCGTTGTGCAATGGGTGGATAAAAAGTTGCTTATTAAACTATAGTGTATAACTTCATCATGGTAATTTACTCAGAGTTCTTATCTCTGTGACTATCTGTAGTATTTGTAGTGTTTTGCTTCTTAAATAAGGAAACTGCATGTATAACACAGGTTCCGGTAGTTGTCTTGCTAGTCTGGAAACACAGACTGTGGTCTATCTAGCATGGTTAACTCCTCCCCTCCCACAGTCGGACTCTGCTAGTAATGGGCCTTAAGTTTCCTCTTCTGATTTTTTTTACATTTATATATAAAGTAGCACCATCTCAAAAAATTCTGACTCTTATTATCATTTCACCTTCTACTCTGATTCTTTCCCATTTCCTGGTTTCTGACATGATCCTTGCAGGGAAATTGCCATAATCTCTGTCCTAGGCTTGTCAGTCTCAGGTGTTTTCATTTAAAAAACAAACAAACAAAATATAATATTGTTTGTTTTATCCTTCTTGATTGGGGAATGCATATGAATTTTCTAAACAAGTGAAGCTACCTACATGCCCTTTAATTTTTATTATAATCAACCTATTTCTCAAACCTGCATTCTTTACCCTTGCCCCTGTACTCTGAGTAGAAAAACTCGGGTATTTTGCACCTCAATTATAATACAATTTTCTCTTTAAACTTGTTGGGTTCTATGTGACTTTTGCCCTTAAACTAAAAGGCTCCAAATCTCTGTGATTCTTAAGTTCTTATGTTTTGTTTTGTTTTCATAGTGTCCTTTGCTTCCCATGTGAACTTCTTGATGTTGTACACGTGTCTGCCAATAGCAGTAACATTCCTCCCTTCCAATTTTTTACTCTGATAGATTGAAAACCTGGTACTCATGATTGTTAGGAAAACAGCTAAAATGATCATAAAGTGCTTTTTCATCTGCTCATCCTTTCATGGACCTTTGTTACATCATCTTGACCACTGGAAGCACTGTTTCCTGGTTTTTGAAATGTTATGGCCAATTGAAGATTGAGATATGCATGAACCATATCCAGACAGATAACATATTTCCTAGTCTGCTCAATTTCTCTAAGATCTAAGCTTATCGGCAGTATTTCCTGTGATTTGACTGTCATTCAGAACTGAGACCAATAAGCTTTTAAACTCTTTTTTTAATATGAATATTTTGCCCGGCTGGCGTAGTTCAATGGTTGAGCTTCAGCCTATGATCCAGGAGGTCACAGTTCAATTCCCGGTCAAGGCACATGCCCGGGTTATAGGCTCGATTCCCGGTGTGGGGTGTGCAGGAAGCAGCCAATCAGTGATTCTCATCATAGGTGTTTCTATCACTCCCTCTCCCTTCCTTTCTGAAATCAATAAAAATATATTTTTAAAAATATGTATATTTTATTTAAATGTGGCCATAAATTTATAGCATTTATAAACTATTCAACCAGGACTATTAACTAATAACTATCAATATTGCTTCCATCTTCCATTTTTATCTACCTTAAAGTTCCTTTCCCTCGGTCTCTGACTCTTAATTCTTCTCTGTGTTTTGTTTTCCAGATCAAGTCCCGAGCAAAGCCTGTAACAGTCCTGGTTTCTACATTTACTTAAGTGAACTTTGCTAAAGGATAAAAATGTCTGATACAAGAGCCAATCACCAACACTGTAGAAATGCTTGCACCTTCATTGGTACAGCTCACTGTCTCGACCAGCCTGGCAGTTTTCCCTTCAATTTTGAGATTTGCTTTTCATCTCTGTGGGGCCATTCTTTGTCATCCTGTTTTAAAATTGTAATCTTGCATGTACCCTCTCTTCCTGAATCCTTCCAGCATTCCTTTTGTTGCATTGCTGTAAAAGAGATCTTTATTTGCATTTCTTTTGGAGTATCTGTTCCATTTCAGAAGATAGTTTACAATAGTTGACCAATACATATTTTGAACTAAGAACAACTCCTTTTCCTTAAAATGGAAACTGCCACCCGGAATGTGGTCTGCTATGCTTTTGACAAAGATAAGAATAGATCTCTAGACCTGCTGAGGGTTTGTCCACCTCTCACCTCCACGACCCATTTTATTCCCCTCTCTTCTGGTTTATTTTCTGAGTTCCTATCTGGATGTGCTTCATTTTGTTTTAAAGTTGGTTTCCTTTGGGGTGTTTTGTCTGGGTTCTACTACATAATCTCTTAGAAGCAGGAAGCCTTCCTTTCTAGCTCAGCAGGAAAGGAGAGAGCAGCGTAGAACCACAGAGGAGCATGTTCTTCTGGATGGGAACAGGTCGTGCTGACTGGACCGTTGAAATTGCTGCCTGCCTATGAAACTGGTTTTGGCACCTGGCTTTGCATTAATCGAAGGGTGTTTGTTTTTTTAATTTCATGGAGTCACTGAGCAATATCATATTTGAATGCCCCAGTGGTAATCAGTGAACTAGAACCTTCTGGGTCATGACATTACTTTGCCAAGTCAATTTTGCTACAAGGAACCAAGAAGTGAGTCTGACAGTGGAACTAGGGCTTCCAACTCAAAATGAAAATTCCTGTGTCTAACCCAGAGCCTACTCCCCCAGAACTTTAAGACTTACATGTAGCAGTTACATTTTAAAAGGCATTTACCTGAAGTTGACAAATGGGAATGGATTTGGTCAACTGCTCACAGAGTATTTTTGGTAGAAGTGAAAATTCCAAAAAGTGAATTTTAAATTACTTGGTTTGTGGTTTGAAATTAAGTTAGAGTTTAGCGTTTTTAATAAGAATTATGGGTCTTTTGGCCACTGCTTTTGTGAGAAGCCATTTCATCTCCTGCTTTTATTGTGTATCCTATTATTTAAAGCTAATATAGCAACCTCTTTCACCCTCATCCAGTACTTTTTGTTTGCATTTATTCTTTTTAAATTTTCAGTTATTCAGTAACTGTTGAGCTCCTGTATGTCAAATGCAGTGTGTTCTCATTCATAGGTGCATGTACGGCTTTGAAGTTCTATATTCAGCAGCATTTTCTAGTCTGCATTTCATGGTCCTATATAAGTAGCTTGTGTCTCCTTGAAGTCAGTAAGATCTATTTTATACCTGGGGGATCCAGAGACACACAAACAGCATCTTGAAGGCGTGCCAGGAGTGGAGCTGGCTTTAGAATTTAGTTCTCTCAATCTCCGCGCTCTTAGTTGTTTCCACCATTAAGAGAATGTCAGCAGTCCTGGTTCTCAAACATTTATTTGATTTTTAAGTTATTTTAAAATTTAATGTTATTAGTTAATTAAAGAATTGTCGTCTGTGCAGGGGAGACAGAAGTCAGTAGTTTACAGAATTGTTTCTTTTTCAAAACTCATTTTGCTTTCAGGAGTTCACAGCTCATGTTTGTGCTCTGTGTGTTAGAAAGATTGGTGTGACTCAAAGGCACCGTGTTGTTTTTCCAGGGAAGGACCTATCATCTCGGAGCAGAACAGATCTGGACTGCGTTTTTGGGAAAAGACAGAGTAAGAAGACACCCGAGGTATTAAGCTACCATATAGCTGATATGTTCTATTTCCACAGTTTGATTTTCAACTGTGTTTAGAACTGTTTATTATGATTAGTAGTTTTCAGACAAAGTTACCAAAAAAAAAAAAAGCCTTTTAGAGGCTTCTAACAAAGG